CAAATATTAAGGAGCATAAAATCGTTTAATAGTCGTATGTGTATGTAAAATTTTATTTCAGAGTTTTACAATGTTTTTGTGTTTTTATTTTTTTGTTGAATTGTTGTTGTTGTTGTTAATTGGTTGTAATTTTTATAACTATTATATTTTATTATACCGTTTTGTTTTTTCAATTGCTTTACTATTTATTTATTTTTTTTTTTTGGTATTTTGGAATTACTATTGAAGGAGGATTTTTGTTTGTTTGTTTCTTTCTTGGTTTCTTATTTTAGGAGGATATTAAGATTTTTTTTTTGAATTTATTTTCTTTTATATTCATAAATATATCAGATGAGAAATGATATAATCTGTTTTTATGTTTATCATAAATCTCAGAGATTTCAACATTTTAACAGTTTTGTAATTATATTGATGTAATTTATATGTGTACATACAGGCATACATGTAGGCTTATTAATAATTTTAGAACAATTTTTTATTTTGTAAATTTAATAGTTGGAAATGTAAAAAAACATATTCCTTCTGGAGACAAGTATGATCGTAATTTTTATAGTGATTTAATATTTCTCTTTTGTCAAACGATTACTTTGTTATTAAAAATTTTATAAAATTTAATTTTTTTCATAGAGTTTTGGTTTAAAAATGAAAATATGATTATTATGTCCATATCGTTAAGCATATCGAAGTATGTTCGAATGGTTCGAATTACAAATAAACAACCGAAATAGTTAGTAAAAATGACAATATGAAGCAAAATAATTTTTAATTTTATTTTTCTTTTTCATTCCTAAGTGAAGCATAGGGAATAAGTGAACCTGCAGTTAACCATTGGGTTCAATAGGCGGGTGACTAGCCTGCCGTAAGTCTCTTAATAACATCCACATTGAAACTACATGTTTTGAGAAATAATTTGTATTATCAAACAAAATCATACAAGCACCGAACATGTTCGACCATAAAATATAATTGTAAATTTTAATTAAAATTATTTATAGTTTTGCAATTACAATTACAAAATCTTATTGCAGGAAAGTAAATAAAAGAAAATTTAAGTAAAAAATTAGTTAATCAACCGTGTAATAACTTGTTATTGATCTGAAAAAAATTCATTTCAAGTACAATTTTAGTAAGGTAAAATTTATTCCGTTCACCTTGTAAATAAGCCTATTCTGCTGTATATGCATAATACAAAACTGTTAAGAGTCTGAAAAAAATCAATTTTGTTTATTACATACTCATTTATAGTTTATAAGATTTTCATCTTTATTATTTTAAAGTTTAATGTTATACAATTTTTAAAAATTAATTTTAATTTATTAATTAATTTGTTTGCCTTTTTCATATCGTACTCGTAATTTTTTTTTTATGTTTTTTATTTTGTTTTATATTTATGATAATTTTTTTACAAATATTGTAAAAAAAATTTTCAATTTTATACGTTTATAACAATAATCAAATATATCAATAAATTCAATTTAATTAAATTTACAAATTCAACATTATATAAAATAAACTAAAGAAAAAAATAATAATAATTAATAAATTCTTAATTTCTTTCCTAATTTAAATGTCAGTGTTAAGATTTTTGAAATTCTTTTGAATTTTTTGATACATTTGAGTATTAAATATGTTTGATTTGTTTTTTAATTTTTAATTTTTTAATTATAATATTTTACAAATTCATTTTATATTTTCATTAATTTTTCTTTCTTTTTAGTCTTTTTAAATAAGTAATTTATATTTTATATTTACTTGTTGTATAGTTGTTGGTAATGGTAATTTTATTTTACACAAACATTTTAATATTTTTTACAGTTGTTTTCAATTACAAATTACTGATTTTTTTATTTATTTAAATATTTTTCTAAAATTTATCTAATTATTACAATTTTATTATTTTAAATTTTAATTAAAGAAAGAACACAAAAAATTTTCATAATTAAAAATTATTAAAAAATATTTAAAAAAAAAGTAAAGTATTAGTAAAAAATATTGAAATTTATATTTTTTTTTCCTTAATGCGCTCCCAAAATTTAGCATGTAATACGAAATTAAAAGCCCACTTAAATGAATTTTACACAAAAATAAACGCTCAAACTTTTTTAAAAGAAGAAGAAATTCTCAAACAATTAAATTTTCCATTTTTGCGTTAATAGTTTGGTAAGTTTTATTTTCGCCAACAAAATATTCTTATATTATAGGATTGGTTATTTTCCGGCACTTTAATACAGGGAAATAAACACCACTTAACCAACAAAAGTGGCTATCAGTAACTGTAACCAAAACCGTCTTTCATTCATAAACGGAAAGGGAAAGAAAAGGAAAAGGGGGAGGAAAAATTAATATTCGTAGTGTTAATTTAATGTTAATAAGTAAATTGAAAATTTGAACAGACTAACATCAAACGTATACGACTATTTTATGGCGAGTTAATAGAAAGTGTCAAATAAACTAAAAATAAATTAAACAAAATCAATACTACTCTCTGGCCCTAAGCACCCTCTTACTTATGTTCGTACAAAATGCAGACGAATACAAGTTAATTTCGCACAACATACACGTCATTTCGCACAAGTTGATAAATGAAAACTATATCGGAAATCACCCTGCGATAACGAAGCTGATTTTAAGTTCAAAACTAAAAATATGTATCGAACAAGTAGCGGATAAATATTGTCGAAGAATGAAGTAAAAATTTTGGTTTTGCTATAATTTCCCCTATGTTCATAAATTACTAAAAAATTTGTCAAAAGCTGATTTAATAATTTTGTAAACTTAAAAAATTAATAAATAACAGAATTTTTGTTGTTGAACTGCACCTCCAATATAATAATTATTCTTCTTACTTAGCGGAAGAGTAAAATTGAAAATAAAATCTTATGATTTTTTTAAATTAAATATTAAGAATTTAATTTACACTTTTTTTTTATAAAAAATTAAAATTAAGTAAGTTTGAAAAGTTGGCAGTCAAAATAGTTTGGCAGCTTTTAAGTGTGACTTCAAACTTAATAAAAAAAAAATATTCTATAAAAAAATTTTTTTTAATTTTAATTTAAAGAATACTCGTAATAATATCAACCTTAACTTATAAATAAATGCTACTTTAATAAAAATATGAATAGCAAAAAGTAAAAACATTGTGGGGTAGTTTAAAACAATGTTGTTATACAAAATGTAAATTATAGGAATTTGTTATAAATTTCGTTAACAAAATTTTCTCACATTAAGTACTTCATATTGAAAGTTTAGTGGCAATGAATGCAAAACAAAAATTTTTTTAAATTATAAAATTTCTTAATCATTATTTTAAAAACTAACAATATTAAAAATGCAATCTTTCCTCAAATTATAATAAAAATTTGTTATTTGAGAGACATTTTTAAATTTTTAAACAAACAACACAATTTTTAATTTAAAAGAAATTTAACAAATTATTATAACAGTACTTAGTTCCCTGAGGATGACATTGAAGTCGAAAGTAGTCAGAAATAATTTTTTGTGTAAATTTTAAGTAAATAAATAAATTATTACAATTAAACATAATAATTAATTAATAATTATAACAATAAAATAATATTAAAAATATAAGACCATTTAATTTAAATAAAACTATAATAAAAATATTTTAATTTTTAATTAATTTTTAAATAAAAATTTCATAAATTTAATAAAATTTTATTGAACAATTTGACATCATTTGGCAGATTTTCGATTTTCTTTTTTAAATGTTTTTCTTTTTTTAAATTTCCTGTTTTTGGTTTTCTTTTTTGGTAATTTTAAATATTAAAAAAATTTTTTTTTCTTCATTTTTTTTTATTATACATTTATTTATTATATAAATAATTATTTTATTTTAATTATTATTAAATACAAGTTCTTCTAAAAGTTTTTTGTTTGTTACTATTCCTTTTTTTTTTTAGGTTTTTAATTATATTTTTATACAAAATTATTAATAGCCTAAAATATACATACATATATTTTATTAAATAGTAAATATCCTAGATTTAAAAAAGAAGAGAAAATTAACAAAATATTTATTTATGTAGTTGTGTTAAAAATGTCGTAAACAATGGAGTTAATTAAAATAAAATTATTTAATTACAAAAATTCATTTACTTTTTGAATAACATTTTGAGAATTACTTTATATTTGATTTAAAATATTCAAAATAAGTGTTCAATCATTTGATTGCTTTCAAATTCAATTATGAAAACAGTTTGGTTGAAAAACTTATACAATAGTTGCAAAATTTTGAAATTAATTACGGGATTAAGTCGTTTACAAAATTCTATAAATTAATTATTTTTTTTTCTCTAAAATTATTAAAACTTAACAATTTGAAGAAGAGTTTTGAATAAAACTCTTACATTTTCAAAAACATAATTAAGAAAGAACAATTAAAAAAATTGCTATTAAAGAGATTAAAAATATTTTCTACATTTTGTTTTACTATAATTTTATTTTTATGTTTTTGTAAAAAATAACTATGATTTCATTTCTTTTTATACTTATTTGATTACTAGTTAATAATAATTATTTACATAAAATAAGAAAATTATTTTATTTTTTTTTTTTTTAATTTTTATCTCACAAATTTTGATTTCAATTTTCCTTTGTTTTCTATATAATTGTATTTTATTTTTTTTTCTCGCGAATTTCTTAATTCATTTGTTTTTTTTTTTAATATTCACAATATGTAAATGTTTTTTTTTAATTTAATTATTTGATTATTCACATTAACTATTAAAATTTAAAAAAAAAAAGAAAAAGTAGTGTTCCTTTACCTTTTTTGTTTGTTGTTAAAAAATATGTAAAAAAAATAATAAAAAACAATTATGATTCTAATATTTTCTTCTCATTTGTATGCGTATACACATATGTACACACACCTGCAATATATACATAACAATCAATGTTATACATATCTGTATGACAGTAATGTAAACTATGAGTGAAATAAAAACAACAATAACCAATAATATTCAATTGGTAAATTTAAAAAACGAAAACCAAAAAAAAAATTAATAGTAGTAGAAAAAGATAAAAAACGATTTTATTTTTATTTAAAAAAAATTTTATCACAGGGCCGTATCACCGACCCCGTGCGTTTCCTATAGTCATACAGTACTTTCACGTTTAATCATTAATGGTGTTTGAACTGATGCTTCATCTTCAGATAAACCACTACCATTACCATTACTATTTGTTGATGATAATAGACCACCATTGCCACCGACAGTAATACTAGTACCTGGTGCAAGACCAACAATATTATTTGATATTGTTGTAACACCAACAACATTAAGACCATTTGTATTATTATTAATACCAGTTGTTGATGTTAAACCTAAACCAATATTATTACTGCTATTATTACCACAATTACTATTAATAATACCAACACCACTGTTACCACTACCTGAACTTGTATTTAAATTAATATTACTAATATTTGTGCTTGTTAATGGTGGTCCACCAACACAAATTCGTTGCCTTTGATTTTGACCTAAATGTTGCATTGCTATTGTTGATGGTGTTGGAAATGATGTCATTAAATCTTGATGATGTTGTGGTAAATGCTGTTGTTGTTGATTTGCTTGCTGAAGGCATTGTTGTTGTGATAATTGATGTAGACTAGCTAATGGTGCTTGTATATGCCTTACACCAGCTATTGTACCCGTATAACCAGGCCACATACTAGGATGACGTGGTAATGTACATGATGCTACTGAATTTGAATATATATGAGGTGGTCCAGGATTCTATATATATATATTAAATAATAAAAAAAATATAAATAAGAATAAAAAATTTAAATATTGTTATACACTCAAATGGGACTGTATGTTTGTATGTAATTGCAGTCATTTATATTATTAATTGTAAATATTTAAATTATTTTAATATTATATAAAGTAACCATTGTTTAAGTGATTCTCATCTTATAGAAAATGGTGGCTTTGAACTACATATCAAACAAGGATTTCAGTATTTAGGTCATTTTAAATATTAATTTCAATATTTGTTGACCCTTCATTTAGCAAAACGTGAAGTACTATAAGTTTAAAAAATATTTTTGTTCGAACTTCTTATGTATAACAACTAAACTTGAATATTTTTTTACCGCCTTTTTGAAATTTTATAATTAACTTCATTGAAATAAATCACAATTGAATAGAAACCACCCGCAATGCAGATTGTTTTTTTTTTTCAGAAAAAAAAAATACCTGCAACCATTATACCGATTTTAGTTATGTAAAGGGAAAAACTTAGTGCCTAAAAAGTATATGTAATCGCATTTACTATTGTAGTGTTCATTGAATAAAAAAATATTCAAGAAAAAAAAAAACAACATTTCACATTAACCTACTTCACAATCTTAAAATGTTAAGGTTTATTGTAATAACGTTTTTGTTTCTTTCCGTCACATTTATTCAAAATACATTATACAAAAAACTCTTGCAAAATTTTACATGAAAAATGCGTCTATATAAAATTACATTGCATACGAGTATAAGAGTAATTTTATATAGATGAAAATCTTTTAGTATAAGAGTAGAAATTACTCCTATTTCTATAACTTAAAAAAAATCTTAAATTTGGGATTAATTTTTTTGTACTTATTTGATCTTTCCCCCCCACGTATACATAGTATTCATATTCAGTGCAAAAGTCTACCTACAATCTAATTTCTTTTACTTTTAAACAAAAACTATTAAAAAATAAAGTTGGGTCAAACCAATGGTTTGTATTGTAGCACTTTTCCCTTAAACAAGTGAAAATACTGCTTTTAAAAACAGTCTATGTATATCCACCACACTATTAAAATTATTTTCATTTATAAACGAAACTATTTCTAGGATTGCATATATTTAGGATGAACCATTTATGCAGTCTTTGAAATAAAGCAAAATTTAATATAAACAGGGGTTAACATAATGCTCGATTTTAAGGGTTAATTGTGTGAGTTAAGAAAAATAATTATATTTTTTAATTTCATGGAATTTACTGTTAACTTTTTGCGTTTATAGAAATTTGAAAAAACTTGCGTTTTCAGAAATATAAGGTGTCAAAAATGCATATTTCACAAATTTCAAGAGGCCATAACTTGAGAGGGGGTGGAGATGGAAAAAAATTTTCTTCTAACGAAATGAACTACTTGTTAATGTCTAAAAGCTCCTAAAATTTCAAGCTTCTACAGGCTGGGGTCTAGAAGAAAAACGGCATGAAAAATTTGAAAAAAAAGGACTTTAGATAACGGTAAATTTGAACGGCCATTTTGTTTTTCTAAAGTTTAACTATAGTATACCGCGGTAGGGGAAGCAAGTCACTGCCCTTCTGCGTTTGCAAAATTTCAAAAATGCTTATGGTTTCATTGCAACAAATAGTTAAAATAGGCCATTTTTAGTGTTTTGGGGGGGTATAACTTCTAGAGGGGGGGAGATAGGTAAAAATTTTGTTCTACGAAAATAAGTTTCTAGTAAAGATCTATGTACGTATTAAATTTCAGCTTTCTATCTTTAAGAATGTAGAAGTTTTGTAAACAGACACACGGACAGACGGACGGACGGACGGACGGACGGACGGACGGACGGACGGACGGACGGACGGACAGAGTGAAACTAATAAGCACTTTTTTTCAAAAAATTTTTGGAAAAGTGCTAAAAATTGGTTTAACAAAAAAGGGATAAAGCTGCACTATAATGTAAGCGTTATATTTTTTAGTTTAAACTATAGACTTATAGAGCTTACAATACAATAAAGGTTGTTGGAAAAGAAAAACTATATCATAGCATTTCTTTGGTGTTTTTGTGTTATTTTTCTATTGTAAAGTAATTTTTTGTTTTGAAAAAATAAACTATCAGAACCAGAACCAGAAAACATAATATCGAAAATATGACTAGTAAACTGTTATACATAAGTATATATACATTTATTATAATATGTAAATATTTTTAAATAAACACACACATACACATGTATTTGAGTTTAAGTGGATAGCATATAAGTAAACAAAAAAAATTATTTCTCAATACGAATGTTGTTTTTTAATTTATAAAAAATGGGATAAAATTACAGAGGAAGATGAAAAAAGCAATGTTAGGGTAGAATAGAAACAAAAAAAGAACAATACAATATTATATTTCCAAAATTTATAAAAAATACTCGAATTGCAGGACCTTTAACATCAACTAAAAACGATTTATATTTTTTTTACAAGGCAGTTTTGAAAACAAGGTGTAGCTGTAACAAATTTTCTCGAAAAAATTGTGGTAGAAAATTTTTTAATATTAAATTTAGTTAGGTACTTAGTTTAGAATCAAAAGTAGTTTTTATCAATGAATTTGATTATAGTTAATTATAAACTTCAATAAACTTTACATTAATATTGTGTATAACATTTTAAAAATTAAAAAATTGAGCTAAATTCAAAATGTTCTTTTATACTTTTTCTTTTACATCTCTTCTTCATTTACACAAGTGCATAATATAGAATATTTTATAAGGATATTCAAGCATTTTAAAAATATTAAAAATTTTGTGGTCAATATAATACTAGAGAACTGAATGTCTTCTTTAAAGTGGTGGTCTCAGTAAAAATTAAAGCGAAAATTATATGTTATGTATGCAATATAATAGCATGAAATTGTTAGATACTAGAATTTTAGTGCTCTTTGGTACACAATATGTGTTTATTCGAATTGGAGACTAAAAAACATAAACAAAAGAACCAAGAAAAAATTTATTTTTTAGTTCCATTGTTGCTTTTCTGTAGTGCATTAGTTTTTGCACTAGGAGGTCAAAATATTAATTAAAAGAATAATAATTGCTATTTGAATAACATAAAAAAATATTGTCTTCATTATAATTAATCACGTTGTAAAATAATAACATTTCATATAGTCAATGTAAATCAGTTAACATTTTTAATTAATTTTTCAAAATTGCTTGTAAAAAATTTGTCGTTCAAATTAAAAATTAAAATTTTTAAATATTTTGTATACATTTAGGGGTAAAGCTATTTGCAGTTGTATCATTGTGTATACAGTTTATCTTGGTATACAGAACACAATTTTTGTATTTACACAATAGAACTGCATTTTTTGGGTGGTTTGGTCTTAAATTAGGAACTTAATGTTCATTAGCGCTCCTCGAAAGGGCAGCCGCTTATGTAATTACAAAAATTGTTTTGTGTATAGTACTTTTGGTTGCACTATTGCAATGTATTGAAAGTTTATTGATATTTGAAGATTTTAGGAAACAAAAGAAAATTTATGTTTAAATAATTTTGTGAACAACTAAAATTTAAAGTTTAATTTTAAAAACATTTTGAATTTCTTATATATTTTGAGAGATCGTAACAAATTTGGAAGTACATTTACGTTGAATTTTAAATTTTTTTATTAGAAGCTCTGATACCCATTCTATAGAACTCATTAATGTTTTGCAAATAATCAAATATTAAAGTTAAACGAGGACACGAATGCTCAAAAAATTGTCTTATATGTCCGATACCATGATTTTAAGTTTTTCAACAGAGTGCCAATTTTTTTCTCAATTCACTGGCATTGTACATTTTAATAAAATAAGTTTATTGCGCCTATATCACTAAAGTTTGCTCTAAAAGAGTTTCATGAGAAGACCTTTAACATCGGCTTTACAATATTTAAATTTAAGGTTGATTTTAACACATTCAGATTTGAATCACTTCATATATAGTACATTTTCCGAAAAATATATGAAATCATTTTGAGTCCATTTATCATAGATTTTGCATTTCATCGATTCACCTATATAATTTCTTGTAATTCAATTCCTTACAAAACTCTTTTAAATTACTACGTTTTCATAAAAGTTCCAAAAAAAATTTATTCTCTTCAAAAAAGTAAAACTAAATTTTAACTTGGAAATTTTCAACTATTGTTTTCATTACATTTGAATCAAAAGTTATAACATGCGTACATATTTACATACAAATATAATTTTAGAATTTAAAGATTTGTAAAAGCTCTGTTTTAGTTCCTACAACTAAAAGTTAATTAAAATTTCAAACTGTTAGAGTGTGTGATGTTTCCTTTTTACTTAGAATTCTATTGTAAATAAAAAAATTACCCAGAATGGAAAAAAAATTTTAAAACTTTTATTTTTAAAAAAGTTTCAAACAAAATTAAATAATAAAATTGGAAACCTAAAAATTAAATAACAAAACTTTTATTTAAATTTATTATGAAATTTTATGAGATTCTAACGAAAAGGAAAAAAGTTTTTTTTTTGTCACACATTTGAACAAAACACCAAAAAAACCAAATGGAAAAATATTAGTAAAAATGTAAAATTAGTTACAAAATCAAAAACGAAAAATGCAATCTTTCAAAAAAAAATTTTTTTTTACATTGCAGGAGAGTAAGAGAATTTTTTTTTTTTGGTACTAAAATTTAACAATTTTTGGGTTTTAAAAAGTTATAAAGTTCTAGAAATAATTGCGAATCAAAAGGTATGCAATGCAAAATTTTTAAATATTTTTTTTAAATATTTGGGAATTTTGATATTTTACAATTTTAAATTGCTGAATAGACTTATGAAACTTTAAATAATTTAATTTTATTTTTGGAATTATTCTTTTAGTATCCCATAAATTTCAGGTTTTAATTATTGTTTATGTAATTCTAATGAACAACCGCGTAAAAGGTAAGCTAGAGTTTTTACTATATTCTGCAGAGAATTGCATTTTAATCTGGTGTTGTAAATTTTCAAGTCTCAA